TCATCAACAGAAGCAACATCATCAACGGAAGAAATGTCATGGACAACAACATCGATCGGTGAGTAATATACCACACGAATCATAGTACCCCTTTTTAGCTGCCAACCAGTCAATCGTTGTTCAGTTTGAGAAACTATACTCTTATTGTTAGAAGTTCCTATTTTTGATTTGCTGAATATGTTTTGATGGTGACAAGTAGTTTTCACACAATATTTCCTTTTGAATATTATTTTGAAAGTCACCCATATTATATTTGTAGTAATACTAAAAATAATTTTATTTACCTTTATCTTTATGAGATTTATTTATGTAGAATGAAATGCAGAATGTTTTAAGAGAGAACTCATCTTGAACCTACAGTAACTGGTGATAGGTTTACGAAATACAATATTTATTCAGTTGTAACTTTCTATGTAGATGTCGACTTTTGTATGTTAGATTTAACTTTCCTATAGATGCTTAAAGGACCAAAGGTATTAAAGGAACTACTATGTTCTGTAGAAAAGTAAAAGAGGACAAATTTTATTTCTCCTGGATCCTCCTTATTCAGTTTAAACTTCTTATGTAAACCTCAGAAAGAATCAGTCATCTTCATTTTATACCCCGAGGTATTCTACGTTGCTTCGTTTTAGTGAAGAGATTTCCCAGGGCACTCGAATAAATTGATCTATCATATGATTGGAAGATCTTCACTAGATTCACTTAATATGACTAAAATGGAATAGAAGTATGTTCTTAATAAGGTTCCATCGAAATTTTAGTCTTTTCTGATAGCTGTGTTTAGTAAAGACATAATTTAGTGACTATTGCAAAGCGTTAGCTCATCTCAACATGTATTCATCAGCATATAGTTAGAGTGTTACAAAATTAATTTTGTATTGAAAAGACATTGCAAAGAATGATGTCACATTGAAAAACGAATGCAGAAGAGACGAATACACTCACTGAATTCGAGACTAATAACTGTGCTAACGTCGAAATAGACTAAACTGTTGTTCATAACGATGCGGGAATAGAATCAGAAAAATGGTGTAAGTAGTGGGATTGTAGAAGATGACAATTAGTCATAAACATAGTGGAATAATTTTATTGGCTGATTGATTTGCTTTGATTTGAGCTGAACTGTCGCAGATTAAATAGAATAAGAAGATAAAATACTGCTATTTAATGATAAAAAATATTATCTAAATCTTTTTTATCTTGTTTACCAGCTCGTAATAGTGCATTTCTTAATCGAACTATTTACTCAGTTGGTTTACAGCCACATGGAATAGTAGTAAGCGATGTGAACAGTGACAATAGACCTGATATTGTCACTGCAAATCGTG